CCACAGAAAGAAAAGTAAACTTGAAATAAAACAGTATTGTTAGCTTTGTAGCTGCTTAAAACACAGGTCTTTGTATATATAAACAAAAGAATAAAACTTGTGTATCATGCATTTTTCCCTCTCACGTTTCTAGGAATCCTTTTAGACAGAGATTTGTAAGTATCGCATCCTGACTTTTCGTTAATCCCAGCATTCTTTAAATGTACACAGCCACGGGAGTCTCCCCTTATCTGTGGTTTCACTTTCCATGGTTTCAGTTACCTACAGTCAACCAGGGTCAGAACATATTACATGGAAAATTCCAGAAATAAACAATTCATAAGTTTTAAATTGTGGGCCATTCTGAGTAACTTGATGAAATCTCACACTGTCCTGTGTAGGACAATGAATCATCCCTTTTCCAGCATATCCCAGCTGTTAGTCACTTAGTAGCCATCTTGCTGATCAGATCAATTGTTGCAGTATCACACTGCTTGTGTTAAATAACGCTTATCCTATTAATAATGGCCTCAAAGCACAAGAGTAGTGATGCTGGCAATTCGGATACACCAAAGAGAAGAGGTAAAGTGCTTCATTTAAGCAAAAAGGTGAAAGTTCTCAATAACGAAAGAAAAAAATCATACCATTAAGCTCTACAGTAAGAAGGAATCTTCTATCCATGAAATTGTGAAGAAGGAAAAAGAAATTCATGCCAATTTTGCTGCTGCAACTCAAACTACAAAAGTTAGGGCCACAGTGCATGATAAATGCTTAATTAAGATGGAAAAGGTGGGCTTCCCTGGTGGCGCAGTGGTTGAGAGTCCGCCTGCCGATGGAGGGGACGCGGGTTCGTGCCCCGGTCTGGGTAGATCCTACATGCTGCGGAGTGGCTGCGCCCGTGAGCCATGGCCGCTGAGCCTGCGCGTCCGGAGCCTGTGCTCCGCAACGGGAGAGGCCGCAAAAAAAAAAAAAAAGATGGAAAAGGCATTAAATCTACAGTAAGTTATTTATTACAGTATATTATAATTGTTCTATTTTGTTATTAGTTATTATTGTTAATCTCTTACTGTGCCTAATTTATAAGTTAAACTTTATCACAGGTATGTACATATAGGAAAAAACATAATATAGAGAGAGTTCAGTACTATCCATGGTTTCAGGCATCTACTGGGGGCCTTGGAGCATATGCCCCATGGATAATGGGGGACCTCTATCCTTCAGTTCCAAAAGGCTCGGTGTAATTAGCCCACTGGTTGGCAATGCGAGGCTGACGGCCTGTAACGCAGGACAAAAAGTCATGAGGCTGGGGTTTTAGCCCCAACTTACTAACTTCCTGCAGGAATGAGTCGCACCAGCCCCTTTCTGCACCTTGGTAACCTCCTCTGTCCAGAGAGGGATTAGTTAGTATGATACATGATTAACAATCTCCTTTTAACCCCACAACGCAGTAAGTACTCTTGTTATCCCCGATTTCCTACTGAAAAACTAAAGTTCAGCAGTGTGGTTACTTGCCCGAAGTCAGGAAGTGTGTGGCCCAGAGGTTGCCAGGATCCGTCCTACTTCTGGCTCCCCGTATTCGTGTATTCAGCTCAGTCCTTGGCCCTGAGCTAGATGCACGTAGCAGGTGCACATCCCAGCACAGAAGGAAGTGCCTTGATGGTGATTAACAGAGGGCAGTGAGCAGGGATGCAGGAAGGGTCGACTGTGGGTGGGCCAAGCCTCCCTGAGGCGGCGACACTGGGGCTGGAACCGGAGGTGACGGTGCCAGCTGTGCTGAGAGCTGAGGGGTGGGCTTCTCAGCTGGGGGGAACACCAAGCAGGCCTGGCAGGGGCGGACAAGGCCCCATGTTCCTCAGAAAGGCCTTGCTGGCCAGGAAGATAATTTTGTGCTAGGGGCCTTGGGGAAGCCAAGAAGCATCTGACTCACCTCCTGCTGCAGCACAGAGGATGAATTGTAGAGGCACAGGCCTGGATGCGGAGAAACCGATGAAGGCATCTAGGGCAGAGGCCGGCAAACCTTTTCTGTAAAGGGTCAGATAGTAAAGATTTTTGGCTTTGTGGGCCATAAAGGTCTCTGTTGCAGCTACACAACTGCCATTGTCGTGTTGAAAGCAACCACTGGCAATACATAAAGGTGAGCATGGATGTGTGCTAATAAAACTTTATTTATAAAAACAGGGGCCTGGTGGCCCATAGGCTACAGTTTGTCACCCTCTAGTCCAGGTAGGAAATAGGAAGATGAAGAGGTACTGGCAGTGAAGATAAGTAGGTGGAGAACCACCTGTAATTATTTTTTGGTGGGAGGTTGTTTTTCAGTTCTTTAATATCAACTTTAGTTGCACAAGTGATACATAAGTATATTTTCCTTATAAGAAAATTAAACATTACAAATTTGACCACACCCCAAACCCAGGTGTACTAGCTGCTATTTTTTTAAAAATAATTATTTATTTATTTGGTTGCATTGGGTCTTCGTTGCAGCAGGCAGGCTTCTTAGTTGTGGCGCGCGGGCTCCTTAGTTGCAGCAGGCAGGCTCCTTAGTTGTGGCATGTGGACTCTTAGTTGCAGCATGCATGTGGGATCTGGTTCACAGACCAGGAATCGAACCTGGGCCCCCTGCACTGGGAGCATGGAGTCCTAACTACTGCACCACCAGGGAGGTCCCCTAACTCCTATTTTTATTTCTGGATGTATCATCGTCGTCCTTTTTCTCTGTATTTATACTTACATATACCTAATGAACTATGTGGTATCATTTTATGGTTTTTTTTGCGGGGCAGGGGCTCTATGAATGGTATCCTGCTAAAGGAGTTTTCACACCTCTCCCCTCCCCTCGCCTCTCGTCTCCCACTGTTACAGAGACCTGGCACTGGTGGGCTTCCTGGGCTTTTGAGGGCAGCGTGAACTGCACTTGCGAATGCCACTCTGCTCCACGTAGCGGGGAACCCGGAAAACTGCCTTCGGAGCTGCTGCATCACTTGGTCCTGATGGCAGGACAGATCCGTGGCAGAGCCCTCCCTTGCTCTGGGCCCTGCTGCAAGCAGGCCATGTTCTAGCTTGGAGGAGATGTCCTGTCCTGCCACAAACCACAGGACCCTAAAACCTCACTGAACCTTCACGGGGGGTTAGCTCCTATTTCTGGATACACATGTATCTTATGAGGGCAGCTGGGGTGCCGACCACTTCCTGCTCATCAGGTCAAGTAGCGCGAAGTCTTCAATAGAGTGACCAGCACGATGCCCTGTGAAATGCCAAGGGTCAAGGTCCCTGTGGACTTACTGTCAGTGGTGGTGTTTTCTAGTGTTTGGTCATTATCTTGTATTTGTTATGTTCTGTGTGGTTATAAATCATTTGAAGGCAGCAGGCCACCATCATGCACAGCGCTGGGGGGCACCATTCCCTCACAGTATGAACGGGTGGTGTCCCCGGGGTTGCGCACCTGGGCAGCCAAAGGTGGTGCCTTGTTTTCTCAGCCATTTGCTATCTTTAAGAGGAAGATTATATTTCCTTTTCACACTCCTTTTCTCTTTCTCTGCATCAGACACTTTTCTCTCTCTTCCAGCTGGCTGCCTTCCAGCATGGACCTTTTGGACTGGTTCTACTTAGTTTCCTTTGCTGATTCTTTCTCTGTCATGCTAAGAATCTGGCATTTTTCTTTTTGCTTGTCATACCTGTTCTGTAGATCAGGGGTCAGTAAACTATGGCCAGGGAGCCAAATCTGGCCTGCTGAACGTTTTTGTAAGTAAGGTTTTATTGGGACACAGCCATGCCCATTTGTTACGCGTCTTGCATGGCTGCTTTCATGCCACAATAGCAGAGTTGAGGAGTTGCTACAAGGGCCACGTGGCCTGCAGAGCCAAAAATACTTACTATGTGGCCCTGTAGAGAGTTTGCTGACCTCTGCCCCAGATAGTTCTCTCCTCTCCTCTGGCAGCAATGACCTCTGATGATGACTTCCCAACCTATGAATTCAGCCCAAACCTTTCTCTAGACCCACACATGTGTCCAGGGCATTTCAACATGGATACCTCACATGCATCTGAAACTCAGTATCCCAAACCCAACTCATGGCTTGATTGACCCTGGATCTCTGCCTCGCCTCCTTGCATGTTCCCAACTCAGGACCCCGCTGGCCAAACCGCTGACCCTGAGCGGCAACCTGTCTCTAGCTTTCCCATCCTCGCACATCTGCTCGGTCACCAAACTCTGTCCATTCTCTCTCCTCAGCTGCTCTTGCATCTGTCCGTTCCTCTCCATTCCCAAAGACTGTGCCTGGTGGGGCAGAGGAGAAAAGCCGGGATGGGGAGCTGGGAGACCTGAGCTCCAGCCCTGGCTTTGCCACAGGTGACTACGGACCAGGGCACATTGCTGAGGCCCGAGTTCCTCACGTAGAACAATAGACACAGCGGGGCCTGACCTGCCTCCTGGGCTTGCTTTAAGGATCAAGCTTTCACATCACATTGTTCCACCTTGAATCTGTAACATAAAGTGCTGTGAGGATGGCAGGGCATGGTGTAACAGTGAGGATTCTTCTACCCTGCTTCTTCCTCCAGGCAGCCTCCCCGGATCCCCCAGCTGCATGACACCCGCCCCCTCCTTCTCTTGACACACTTCGATAGGCCTCCCTTGCACTCAGCCCTGATGCACAGTCCCCTGGGTATGCGCTCAGTCTTGAGGGCAGGGATGAATTCCTGCCCATTTCCCTTTCCTTCAACTCAGCATAGGCCTGGCCCAGAGTTGAGGTTCTGTAAATGTTTGTGGAACTTGGCCAAATGCCCTCAAGGAGCTCCCAGACACGAGGAGAAACAGACACACAGATGAGCAATATGGCCGGGGGGGCTTCCCTGGTGGCACAGTGGTTGAGAGTCTGCCTGCCGATACAGGGGACACAGGTTCGTGCCCCGGTCCGGAAGATCCCACATGCCGCGGAGCGGCTGGGCCCGTGAGCCATGGCTGCTGAGCCTGTGCGTCCGGAGCCTGTGCTCCGCAACGGGAGAGGCCACAACAGTGAGAGGCCCGCGTACCGCAAAAATAAAATAAAATAAAATAAAAAAATATGGCCGGGGCAGAGAGATCGGGCACATAACATCTAATCGTTCCCACGGAGGAAGATGTCCAGTGGGAAGGGCCTGGGAAGGGCCAGGTCTGGGCTCAGCCAGGATGCAGGCATCCCAGGATGTGTGCCCAGCGTCTGTTCCCATTGGTCAGTGCGTAGGCAACAAGGGTAGTGCAGGCTTTCAAACATGACCCCTGGTTTTGGCCGAGTGGAGGGAGAACACTCCTGCAGAGAGCATCCTTCATGGTGAGTGATGCTGACATACGAGGCTCCTATACATACTAATTAAACCACCTGTTGCTGCCCATCATCCTTTACAAAAAGATATTTTTCCCTGTGTTCTGCGGGACAACCTCTCCTTTGTCCATCACCCGAAGTCATTAACATAATCCCTAGTAGCTGCTTTTAGTCTTCAGCTCTGGGCAGATGGAACTGAGAACTATTTTCTCACCTGCACCAAAGCAAACTGTCAAGAGGTGTTAGACCCAGACTCCAGGAGCCTACACCACAGACCCACACCCCACTGATGAACGCATGGAGACACGCATTCAGGAGCCGCGCAGAGGATGGAGGAGACCGCACTGCGGACTTCGAGCTCGTGGTGTAATCACTCCTGGATATGCCCCGGGAGTGATTTTAAACATTTCGATGTGCTTCTGCTCTCTTTGCTCTCTCACATGCCAAACCTCTGTCCTGGATGGCCTGAGACAGCTACCTCCTGGAGGGAAGGGCAGACTTAGACTTTGTTCCAAGGACACGGAGAGAGACCAAAGGCTTCTGACATTTGCAGTTGGATTCCGCAGCAGCACAGCACCCTTGCCAGCCAGGCTGCCATCCTGTGAAAGGATTTCCAGATTTTTCTTGTCCTCGAGCATATTAGCAACAGAGCTCCATGACCTAGGAGAAGCAGAGGAGAGCCTGCTGCCTTTCCTGCCCCAGAGTCGGGGCAGGAAGGGGAGGGAGGAGGGAAGTCTTGCCCAGTATGTCTCCTGGAATCCTTCCCTCTGTGTGGCTGGGCTGCAGGCTGCATCCGACATGCCCCCACCCATCTCAGGCCAAGGGGAGGGGAAGGCGAGCTGAGGGGAGGAGGGTTTTCTAAAGAGCCAGTTTGTCAGATCACAGGAGCTTCTAAGTGGAAGGGGCTCAGCCCAGCCCCTGCTCTCGGGTCTCCCTTTCCTTAACCACTCCTCCACTGCGGACTTGAGTTGTGACCACAGCACTCCCTCCCCTTCCCTCTTCTGCATGCATGCAAGTGTTTTTCTAGGGCAGTGATTCTCAACTGGGGAAAATTTTGCACCCCTCCCGGGGCGGGGGGACATTTGACAATCACAACTTGGTGGGTGGGTTGGCAAAGGGCTACTACCAGTACTTTATGGGCAGGGACCAGGGATAGTGCCAAATATCCTACAGTGCACAGGACAGCCTTTCATGATGAAGAATTATCTGGTCCAAATGTCCACAGCGCTGAGCTTAGAAACCCTGCTCTTGGTAAATACTCTAGATATGGCTCTGTGTGCCATTTTAAAACTTGATAAATGCTTCTGAATTGTCCACCAAACCTCCAGGTTGTCTATAACGATCCACTCCCACAACATGTAAGGCTTAACTTCTGCCAAAATCGAGGATACGCATTTCTGAATTCTGAAACCTGCACTTCCCAACGTTGGGCGTCTCCTCTTCTGTAAATTGCTCATTCCTGGCATTCGCCCATTTTTCTTTGCTTAGGGAGTTCTAGGAGTTCTCTATGGATTCTGCACTCTAGTGCTTTGTATCTAGTCCTGATATTTCCACCCTTGCTTTTTTAGCATCTTGTCACACAGAAAATGCTGAATTTGAGAAAGTTAATTGTCTCACACTGTCTTTTGCTTTCTCTGTGTTGTTTAAGGTGTTTTCTATCCCAAGATCGTGAACATACTCCCCTGCGCTTTCTTCAATAATTTTACGGATTCATTTTTAAGGTTAGGACTTTAATCTGTTGGTGATCTCTTCTCATGACGGGTGTGAGGTAGCGAATTCCCTCATCTTGCCGTCACCAAATTACTGCCCTGCCCTGCATCCACGCCGTCCTCTTCCTCCCTCTGCTTCCAAGGGCAAGACCTGTCAGGGCCCCGGACTCTGCCTCACCCCTCCCGGCTCAAGGGCTCTTCCCTCTTCACCCAGGACAAGCGGGAACATCACCCCTTGTGAAAGCTCACGCCTGCTACTGGATCTCCTGCTGCAGCTGCCACAGTCTTTGCCTTTTCATAGCCCAGCCTCACGAAGAGCCCACCCTCCACTCCCTTACCCTCTGCCGACGTCCTGCTGCTGAAATGGGCCAATCCCAACCTTCTTCCCTGCTTGGAAAAACACTAAAGGGATAACTACAGTCCTACCTTCGGTGTCAGCTGCCGCGTTGCTACACTAGGAACCAGTTTAAGCTAAGCTCCGATTCCGCACAAAGGCTGAAGAACGAGCAATGACGTTTAATTACCCAGCACTGGGAGGCGACCTTCAGGGACCAGCATCACTTCCTGGGACTGATGGGGCAGGAGAACCACAGGCCAAATCCGTCGCTCCACATGCCCCTTGCGCAGATGGGCTAACTGAGGCTCAGGAGCTAACAGCCTGCCCAGCACTTGATCTACTCCCGGCCAAAGTGTCAGCAAAAGTGACCTCCAGGGCGCATCTGAGTGTCAAGTCCAGACCTGGCGCTCTTCAAGCCACTCCCTGCCTGAGGCCAAGCAGGGCCGAGGGCAAGTTTCCAATTTTAGGCTGCACTGGAGGCTCGGGGCTCTGGCTGGGCACTGGGTCTGGTGGGCATGGAGGGGAGGTGTTTGGGGGAGTGGCACCTGGAAGATCGGCGTGAGGGACACAAAGCGGGAAGAGAAGCCATGGCAGGTCACCCTGAGCGCAGACGGAGGGAAACGGGAAATGCAGAGTGGACAGGGGGCCCGCTGCCTCCGCCCCCCCAAGGAGGCCCTGGTAGGTGTGCAAACCAAAGAGCAAGTGCATAAATATCACAGGGCCAGCAGGGCTTGGGAGGAGACAAAAGGTGACAGTCAGGGAACCTCAGAAGAGCCGGGCGGTGGCCCGTCAGAGCAGGACCAGGGGTAGGAGGGCAAAAGCCCCACTCCGGGCCCTCAGTGCAGTTCGAGCTGCTGCCAGTCTCAGGAAGAAGGCTCTGTGGGTCGACGCAGGGTCCCTGAAGGCCACTGCCATCGACTGGACTTGTGGCGCCGGACCTAGAGATCCACGTTCATTGGATCCAAGCTTGATCACGGCTATTTCCAGGCTCTGTGGTTTCAGGGAAATCATTCCAGCCCTCAGAGCCTGTTTGCTCATCTGTAACACGGGATGTTAATATGTACACCTCAGAGAACTCTTTTGAGAATTAAATGATGACCATTATTCAGTGTTTTGTGAACATACTAGGGGTCTGTCCACAGTGGAAATCACATCCACTGGGGTTGGGAGGGGGTGTAAACGGGTGGCTATGTAAGAAAAACTCAGGGAGCAGCCTGAGGGCAAGGTGACCAGCATTGTCTTCCCGTAAAGAGGGGCGTCCTCCTTGCTAGTGTCCGCTGTCCGCATTGCGAGGCTCCAGGCCTGACATAGCAGCCCCGTCAGCGGCTCCCACTTGGCAGACGTTTTAGGATCAGCTGCTCCATGGAGTTGATCTGCAGAACGGGGGAGCAGTGATCAGAGCCCCTGGGACACGCTCTTCTATCCAAATGAAGCAGATGGGAACCCGGGTTTGTGGATTTAGGGGCCCGGGGAAGGGATCCCTCCCATCCTTTGCCCCACTTTGCACACCTACGGTCACTACTTAATGCCCATCCCCCTCACCTGGGCCACCATGCACTTGCCTGGCCATGGTCCACTATTTCCCAGAGTCTCAAATCTGTTGCTTGGTACCTTCGCCCGGGGTAGAGCTCCCACTTGGGGGGCAGCCCGAACACGAGCAGATGGCTGGGGGACCTGGGCGTCTGGGGGTGCACTGGCATCTGCCACATGTGGACTGTGACGCTGATTTCATGCTGAAGAGACCAGAGAGGAGGGGGCACATCAGGGATGGTTGAGCTGCACACACACAACCAGGGTCCTGGATCCCCTGGCCCGGCTGGTGGGCTGCCCAGACCAGAGGTCAATGGGCATGCTTTTAGAATCCCACACCCAGATCCTTGGCACCATCACTTGGGGTTTTCCTTGGACTAGTTCTCTCCAGGCCTCCTCTGTACCATCCTCCCACTGACCTGCATCCCACTCACCCCACCACACCCTGAAAAGTTAGCCTCTGTTTCCAGCCTGTCCGCAACATTGGGCCTACACTGATTACTCTGTTGGCCCTCTGTCTTGGCCACTTCCATAGTTTTAAAAATTCTCTTTCTAAAAAATAAGATATCTAAAAAAATAAATAAATAAAAATAAGATATCCATAGATCTCAGGATCTGGGAGTGATGGGTTTTCCCTTAAAAATATTTTGTAGTTTTGATCATGGCCATCACTACTTGTTGTGAACATTAAAAGAAAAAAAAAAAATCAGCCAATCCAGAAAGGTATAAAAATGAGGGAAAGTCACCAGACAACGATAACCAAAGCTCCATGTGTTTTGCAACTAAATGGGAAGTTCTTTACAGAGTTTTCTATCAGAGTATTTGTCTTTGTGCTGAACATTTTTCCGAGCTAAGAATCTAGCCCTTTATCAGTCATACATGTTGCAAGTTATTTTTCTCCGTTTGTTGTCCTAACTTCATGAGCCGGTTTTGCAAGAGGGATATTTTTAATTATGCGGCAAAAGCTCTTTCCCTTTGGATTCTGTCTTTAGATCAGGCGTCAGCACAGTATGGACCCAATCTGGCCCACCACCTGCTTTTGTAAATAACGCTTTATTGCAAATAAACAAACACTTCTTCCTTTGTGTGCTGTCTTGGGCTGCATTTGCACTAGAGGGCAGAGTTGAGTAGTTGCTATGGAGTCTTTACCATCTGCAAAGCTGAAAATTTTTACTATCAGACTCTTTACAGAAAGTTTGCTGACCCTTGCATTCGATCATGCTCAGAAAGCCATCTCCTATCCTAAGACTGCATGTGAAAACCCAGATCCACTATTCAGAAATAATCATTTCAAATTGTGAAAGCAATGCTCAGCCTCCAGGTTCCCCTCCCCCACTCATGGCTAAGTTATTTGAAGAATCCATTCTTTTCCCATTGAACACTTTTGTATGCTTTTTGAAAACTTACGAAACTATTTTGTCCAGAATTTTCTGCATGCTTTATTGGGTGGAAAAGACTCAGTGTTCTCAACAAAAAATTTTCTGGATTACCTATTTGAAGATAGCTAGGAAATGTGTTATATTGTTTAAAATGACCGTGAATTGTTTATTCAATACCTGGAGAAGTATTTACCATATTACCCTGAAGTATTTATATTTTGTCCCTCAAAGATGGGCTGTGATCCAAACCCCTAGTTTAGGGCAGCTGTTTCCAATCTGAGTGATCATCCTTATCACCTGGGGAGCTTTTAAAACATAAAGGGTTTTAGACTCCACCCAAGGCTCCTGAATCAGTTTCCAAGGTGGAATTCTAGAATGTGTTACCTCTCAAACGCTCGCCCAGGCCATTCAGATGGTGAGCTGTGTCTGTGACCTCCACAGAGGTAGATTATTCCCATTTTGCAGGTGAGGAGCCTGAAGGCAAGGTAAATTTTATACTGTTGGCCCACCTGCTGCTCTAGGTTGCAATGCTTTTGCTTGTGCTTGTCCTGTCTCCTTTCTGATCCTGGAGAACTCCTACTCATCCCGCAGAGCCCACCTGAATAGCCGCCGGATGTGTGAAGCCTTTTCAGCATGCACTAGGGGCAACACTAGGCCCTGAGCTACCTCTCTCTCAGCCTCCCCACGGAGGACTGCATCATCTCCTGTAGATAAGCTCTGCCTGTGGCCCCTCCAGGCAGGGGCTCCTGGTCAGCACGCTCAAACCCACACAGGCCGAGTTTTCCAGCGCCAGTGAGAACTGCATCCTCATTGCATAATATGCAGGGCCCCCACGGGCTAAAGTCCATGTACCACCCTTCCGCTGCCTCCCCTCATGTCCCACGACTCACCGTGCTGCCAGGGGAGCCCCTGCCCCAAGCTCTGTGGGAGGGACTGATCCGCAAGGCCACAGTCACCCAGGTCCTTCCATTCTCATCCTCGTAGATGCCCGGCCTCCGGAACCACAGGCAGCATGGGGGCGACCCAACGGGCGGAGAAGCTTCTGCTTCCATTGCAAGGCTGTGCCCAGCGCAGGCCTCGAGGCACACATGGAACCTCCCAGGTGTTCAGCCTCCTTAAGTGGACTGGCTACCGAGTGGGGTGGGGCCGGTGATCCTGGGGGCAGGGCCCGTGAGCCTTGTCAGGGGCCGCAGGGACCAGCGAGCCCAGGTGTGAGGGTGCGAGGGGGTTGAATAAGGGGCAGAGCCAGAGCGGGGAGGAGCCCTCTGCCTCTGGGGGCAGGCAGGGGCGGGGCCACAGAGCAGTAGTCGGAGGAACTGGGCCCACCTGCCTGGAGGTGCGCGGACCGGAGTCGGGAGCCTCAGGGGCTGGCGGATAAGAAGCTCCCCAGGTAGAGAGCCACCCCAGGCCTCTGCGCAGGGACAGTTTGGTTCCTTAAGATCAACGCTCCCCTGCTTCCGCTGATGCCTCCGCAGCCTATCGCTGGCATCCTCTGCTCTTGCCTGGCCTTATGCAAACCTCTGAGCTCCAGATCCTGAGCTGGCAGGGACCGCCCTGACCTTCCTCCAGGGCATCTTCCCGTGGCCATTCCTTCAGCAGGACCCCAATCGCGAACCCTTGGGGTAGTGAGCTCAGTGGATTCTTGCCCCTGGAGATAGCTGGCCAAGGAACCTCCTGGGCAAATCAGGCTCCCTCTCCACAGAAAATGAGCCAGTGCCCCAGGGGCATCTGCAATCGGGATCGTATAAAGTGTGAGGGAAACCAGGCCACAGGAGGGAGGGTGTGTGGCCATCTTGCACACCCTATCCTTGACCGTGGGGTCCGGAGCACCCGCTTGGCCTGGTCATCTTATTAGCTCTGCTTTGCCAGGAGGCCACAGACACAAGAGGCAGGCCCATGTGGTAAGCACCCTGGGCTTCTGATGAATGCAACGTGAATATGGTCATTTTCTTGTTGAAAACCGCAAGTGTGATTCTTATTCATCTGAGAACGAGCAATGAGATGACGCTGTTCCTCTGGGCAGGCTGATGTAAGTGGCACATAGCATGCCTGCCTCTGAGGAACTCACTGTGCAGCTTCTGTAGAGGCAGAGCCTCTTTTCACAGCAATTCCACCTCCTTCCCTGGTGTTTTTCCTTCTATCGTGGGATTGGAGTGGCCGTAGGAGACGAGGGGCATTACGGTCTTGAATAACACGATCACATACATGGAATCACATACATCTGTTACCATATTCTATTGGTTAGGAGCAGGTCCTGCCCACACTCAAGGAGGGTGACGGATTATACAAGGATGTGGATATCAGGAGTCAGGGCTCAAGGGGGTTCCCCAGAGCCTGTCTGCTATAAGCACCAACCCCACTGGGTTACTCTGAGGATGAAATGAGATGGTGTATAAAGAGCAGTGCCTCTAGCACATGGCGAGTACTCGAAAAATGCCAGGTACTAGCTATGCTCCCAGACTTGTCCCCTTCCTGAGCAAAATCCATCAGTCCACCCTTTGTAACACGAATGCAAGCAGTATTTATCTCTATCACTCCATATCACAGATATGTACGAGTATTCTCAACCTCACTCCAAGATGAGCAGGTATGTGGCTGTCTGTGGGGTGGGGGCAGAATTGGTCAATACATGCAGAGCATCTATGCCACATGAGGCACTGTACATGTGTTCTCTCATTTACGTCTCCCAACAACTCCATGAGCTAGAGACTGTCATCCCCACCTCACGCCACTGAAAATGAACAGAAGTGCTTCACTGATCTCCCTTCTCATGCCATGTGCTCCATCCCGGGCCCCTTGGACCTGCATGGAAGGAAGATCACTGGCGGGCTATGAGAACAGAAATTTGTCCTTCAGCAGGCCCATATCATGTCTGAGATACACCAATGTTTCCTGGCCAAGTGTCCATCTTTGGTACCTGCAAGTTGAAGGATTCACTCTCCGGGGTGGGTATCACCAAAGCCTTTGGGAAGCCCTTTGATCTCTCCGGGATAGCTCCAGGCAGAGCCTTGTAAAGACAGTGTAGTCTCTAGCAGGTCTGTGTCTTTATTCCCATCTTACCCTTAGGTTCTTCATGACATTTTTTTTTCCCCTTAGATTCCGTTTATATGTGTTAGCATACGGTATTTGTTTTTCTCTTTCTGACTTACTTCACTCTGTATGACACACTCTGGGTCCATCCACCTCACTACAAATAACTCAATTTCATTTCTTTTTATGGCTGAGTAATATTCCATTGCATATATGTACCACATCTTCTTTATCCATTCATCTGTTGATGGACACTTAGGTTGCTTCCATGTCCTGGCTATTGTAAATAGAGCTGCAATGAACATTTTGGTACATGACTCTTTTTGAATTATGGTTTTCTCAGGGTATATGCCCAGTAGTGGGATTGCTGGGTCGTATGGTAGTTCTATCTGTAGTTTTTTAAGGAACCTCCATACTGTTCTCCATAGTGGCCGTATCAATTTACATCCCCACCAACAGTGCAAGAGGGTTCCCTTTTCTCCACACCCTCTTCAGCATTTATTGTTTGTAGATTTTTTGATGATGGCCATTCTGACTGGTGTGAGATGATATCTCATTGTAGTTTTGGTTTGCATTTCTCTAATGATTAATGATGTTGAGCATTCTTTCATGTGTTTGTTGGCAATCTGTATACCTTCTTTGGAGAAATGTCTATTTAGGTCTTCTGCCCATTTTTGGATTGGGTTGTTTGTTGTTTTTGTTATTGAGCTGCATGAGCTGCTTGTAAATTTTGGAGATTAATCCTTTGTCAGTTGCTTCATTTGCAAATATTTTCTCCAGTTCTGAGGGTTGTCTTTTGGTCTTGTTTATGGTTTCCTTTGCTGTGCTTGAGGATATGGGGAGGGAGAAGGGTAAGCTGTGACAAAGTGAGAGAGTGGCATGGACATATATACACTACCAAACGTAAAATAGATAGCTAGTGCATCGCATGGGGATATCAGCTCCGTGCTTTGTGACCACCTAGAGGGGTGGGATAGGGAGGGTGGGAGGGAGGGAGATGCAAGAGGGAAGAGATATGGGGACATATGTATATGTATAACTGATTCACTTTGTTATAAAGCAGAAACTAACACACCATTGTAAAGCAATTATACTCCAATAAAGATGTTAAAAAAAAAAAAAAGACAGTGTAGTCATGCCTGGACCCAATGCTATCCTCCTCCAGTGGAGGGCGCCCTTCACAAACCTTAAGTCCAGGCGTCCTGGTGCTGGGGCACTCAGCCTAAGGGGATGATTCTAGACCGCAGATGGGCACTGAGCAGGACTTGGAAGGCTGGGTCTTGGTCACCAAGATCTCTGCATATTCTGCTCATCTCCTCCCATGTACTGAGCCCAAACTGGCCAAGGCAGGCAGGACACTGGAGGCGGATAGCCTGGAAACAGCATGGCACAGATGGGGTTGTTCACCAGCATGAATAAAGACATGGAGAGGGGACATTCAGGATGTATTTGGAGGTCAGAGAATAATGAGGATTAGCCAGTGCTGAGGATGCAGGCTCATCATAAGAGGAAGGATGAGAATATGGTCGTGGTATGTGTGGGGAGGTGGATGCTGATGCTTCATTGCAAGGATGCCAATCCAACTAGTTGATTTTGATCAAGTTGATCAGGAGCAATGACAGTGTTTGGGAAAGGAAATGGCATAAGTACACACTTGATAAACGTTTGAACTAATGATAAAACAAAAGAGTGACTCAGTAATCAGGGATTCCTAGAAATGGACTGGATGGAGATGGTTCAGGCAGTATTACAGGCAAAAACATCCAAGTTCCAGCTCTGCTTGTTTCAAACTATCAACAGTATTAAATTGGCAGGATGATAAAAGAAACTCGACACAGCCATGGAACTGAATAATGAGCGTTTGGGGAAGTTTTGTCTATTCCAAGGCATTGAAGATATAGTCTGTTTTCTTCTAAAGGTTTTATTGTTTTACTTTTTATATTTAGATGCAATTTATCTTTGTATGTGATGTGAGGAAAAGATCTAGAGTATCTTTTTCCATGTTAATATCAAATTAACTTAATCCCATTTATTAAAAAGACTATCCCTTCTCTCCTGTATTGTATTATCACTTCTGTCATAAATCTGGAAGATATATGTACGGGTCTGTTTCTGGAGTTTCTTTTCTATTCCATTCTTTTTTTTTTATCCTTGTGTCAATAGCACATTGTTAACTACTATAGCCTTAAAATAGGTATGGATATCTTGTAGTATAAATCTCCTAGCTTTATTCTCCGTCTAGATTGCCTGGATATTGTGATGGTTAATTTTATGTGTCACCTTAGACAGTGTTTTGGGATAAGAGTAACATTTAAATCGGTGAACTTTGAGTAAAGCAGATTGCTCTCCACATTGTGGGTGGGCCTCGTCCAATCAGCTGAAGACCTGAATAGACTGAAAAGGCTGGCCTCCCCAGGCAAGGAGGAATTCTCCAGCAGACTGTCTTTGGACTTCATCTGTATCATTGGTTCTCCTGCCTCTCCAGGTTGTGCACCTTTAGCTCTCCTGGGTCTCCAGCCCGACAGCCCACACTGCAGATACTGGACTTGCCAACATCCATATTCATGTAAGCCATTTCCTTATAATAAATCTCTTTCTATATACATATATGTACATATACACACATGCCCTGTTGGTCCTATATCTCTGTAGAACCCTAATTCAGCTATTCTCTAACCTTTGCAATTCCATATGAATTTTAGAATCAGTTTATTACCATCCCTCTCCTCCAGAAAGCCTGCTAGGATTCTGATTGGGACTGTGTTGTATCTATAGGTCTGTTTGAAGAGAATTGACATCCATACCATATTGGACCTTACAATCTCAGGATAGTGTGTGTCCCTCCCCTCCATATCTTAGGTTGTCTTTAATTTTCCTCTATTTTTATTAAACTTGTTCTTAAGTATTTGACTAATGCTATTTTAAGTGGTGTTATTTTAAACTCTGTGTTATATTTGTTTGCTGCTGGTATAGCAAAAAGCAACTGATTTATGTATATTGTCCCTACATCCAAAAATTCACTTAACCCTATTTTTTTTAATATTTTGGGAAATTCCCAGTCATTATAGCTTCAGTTATTCCTCTCATTCTCTCTCTCTTCTTCTGTGCTTCCAATTACACTTTGCTACACCTTATAGATTGTGTACCATGCCTCCTATGCCCTGTTCTGCTTTATTTGAGGCTTAAACATTTTTCCTCTCTGAGCTTCAATTTTGATGTCTCCTATCGGCTTATTTTACAGTTCATTATTAATCTTGACATTTGCTGTGTCTAATCAGCTCTTAAACCAATAAGTTGATTTCTTAACTGCAAATATTATATTTATCAGGTCCAAAATGTTCATTTGATGCTTTTTTTTTATAGATTTGAAACTTCTCTGATAATCTCTTTTGAACCATTTTGTCCATCATTCTTTCTGTATCCTTAAACATACTCCTCAGTGATTTTAAAGTTCTTTTCTGATACTTCTGGGTTACTAGTGGGTCTGCTTCTATAGTCTGCTTTTTCACTTGGTTTTCAATTACATGTTTTTTCTTTGGGAGTAATTTTTAAGTGAATACCAAATAGTGGGTATAAAATCCCGGAAAAGTTCTAGATAGTATTGTCTTCCCCCAGATGGAGTTAACTGTTTCCTCTGCTGGGCAGATAGAGTGAGGTACCGAACAGCTTACTTCTGATAAGAACAGAATTGACTCAAGGTCCAGTTCCAGTTCCAGTGAGCATCAGTCTACCTCCCTCAAGTTCACCCTATGTCTATAGTGTGGCTCGCAGTCAACAGCCTGGTGGGGCTTTGTCTCGACACAAAGAGACCGCAGGAGATTCTGCTCTGTCTTTCGGGGCTTGGCTTTGCTCTTCTGCATCCTGCCCTGAGCCGCTTCTATTCTAAAAGCCCTTTGGGGAGAGGGCACTGGTCTAAGTATGAGGTCCCTCAAGTCTCCACTTTGGCCAAATGCATCAGAATCAGCCAGTGTCCTCAGGAAAAATGCAGTCACAGATGCCTGATGGTTGATGTCCGTTCATTGCTCCCTCCCGTACTTTCAGCTCTTACCAGGTTGTCCTCACTCCAACCCCTGGTGAGCCTTTGTCTTTTCAAGAGACTCCAGAGAATTCTAGTCTGTTTTCAGAGGTCTTCAGCTTAGTTTTTCAGCCTCTGACGTCACACAGCTTCATAATTCAACACATATCTCTGTTACCAAACACAGGTCCAGCTGCTCACTGCTCTGAAGCCAATAAAGAGGCAAGGTTGGTGGAAAGGAAAGTTTGCTTTATTTCAGAGGCTGGCAGCTGGGAGAGGAAGGGCGGACTTGTGTTCAAAGGCTGACTAACCCTCCCCCCAATCAGTGGGCAAGAGCTTTTATAGGCGGAGGGAGGGGGCTACATGCAGAAACAGCACAGTCAGCTCTGACAGTCATCTTGAAATTGGTCATCGGTCGTCTGACCAGCATCATCTTGATTGTTTTAAGTACAGTTAATCTTCAGTTTCAGGGTCGGTTTGTTCCCATTTCCTTGAGGCCAGTTCTCGGAATTGTGGCAGCTTATGTCACGGCTACAGTCTGGTCATCATGTAGTTAACTTCTTCCACCTGGAGGTGGCTTTGGTATCTATAAGACAGCTCAAAGGATATGGCTCAGAATATTATCTGTAGCCCTTGAGGAGGAAATAAAGTCCTTGACTTTGCTTAATGACTAAACTATTATTATTTGGTCTCATTTGACTGTTTTCCTTTGTTTCTGCATTTTCTCACTTCTCTGATTAAACTTATTCTTTGACTAACGTTTCTCTACAGACAAAAGGCAGATGGAGGACATGGGGGGTAAGAACCATAGGGTCCTGCTTCGTTTCGTCTCGAGTGGAATCTGGCTGGACGTTTGTGACCGCCCAAGCCTCCAGTTTTGTCACTCTACACCAGCCCTGTGTCCCAGCCTTATTTCACCCTCTAGCCTGGACCCAGAATCATCAAATGACCAGAAGGGAAAAGCATTTGCAGATGCTCACCTCTGAGAAGTCTCCCCTTCTCCAGAATTTTAGTTCCTC